ACTGCTTTGAGAGTCCTTATTGGATATAAAGGTGACTTTGTTCTTTGCAATCACTTTTTATTTATTTAACCATTAGCCGCCTGGCCTATAGCCGTTTGGCGGCCGCAAAAATGCTCTAACTTTCCGGGAGGCCGCCATTTGGCGTGCTCCTGCACATGCGCAGTTCGAGCGTTTGCAGAGCCGCGCAGCGGCGCGATCTGTCACCGGCCGTGTACCTCAGACACGGCCGATGACAGATCTGAGTACCAGCCCCCGTTGCCAGTATCATGTGACCTGCTGTGACCAATCACAGCAGGTCACATGACAGTTGTATACAAGGATGGCTTCATTCATGCCATCCATTGTATTCTAGTGCCTAGCTGTGAATGGTCACAGCAGGTCACATGCACATGTCATGTGATTAGCTGTGGCCAAATCACAGCTAAGCACACAAAAAAAAAAACCCGAATGAATCGATTTCATTCAGGTAAATGCTTGCTTATAGCAAAGTAATTCTTTGCTATAAGCAAATTGTGTAAAAAAAAAAAAAAAAAAAAATACTGATCACTTCCCCAAAGTAGTACAATGTTACTATGGTAACATTGTACTACTTTGGTCATAGTAAAATATGAAAAAAAATCTTAAAAAAAATTAAAAATGTAATAAAAAATTAAAAATAATATAAAAAAATATATATATATATATAATTTATTTTCATACTGTCACCAGTCAGTGTCCCTGATCACCGCCATGCCAGTTATAGGATGACGCTGTACTGCACTGGTGACAATATGTAAAAAAAAAAAAATAGTGAAAATAATTTTTTACATTTTTTTCATTTTCCGAAAAATTATGACAAAAAAAATACAACTTCAAAAAACTCGCCATTCCTCTTATGAAGTACGTCGGACTGTCTACTTTACAAAAAGGGGTCATTTGGGGGATATCTGTACTGTTCTGACATTTGGGGGATATCTGTACTGTCCTGACATTTGGGGGATATCTGTACTGTTCTGACATTTGGGGGATATCTGTCCTGTCCTGACATTTGGGGGATATCTGTACTGTCCTGACATTTGGGGGATATCTGTACTGTTCTGACATTCTTGGACCTCAAGAAATTAGATTGGCTGTCAGTAATTCAGGATTGATCAATATTCAGACCTATACCATAGTTTGTGAACTCTATAACTTTCCTACAAACTAAATAATACATCCTAATTTGGGTTATTTTCACCAAAGACATGTAGCAGAATACATCTCGGCCTAAATTTATGAAGAACAATTATTTATTTGTAAACTTTTATAACAGAAACAAAGAAAAACGTGGTTTTTTTTTTTCAAAATGTTTGGTCTTTTTTTGTGAATTTAGCAAAAAATAAAAACCCCAGCGGTGATTAAATACCACCAAAAGAAAGCTCTAGTTGTGTGAAGAAAATGATAAAATTTTAGATTGGGTACAATGTTGTATGACCGCGCAATTGTCATTCAAAGTGTGAGAGCGCTGAAACCTGAAAAATGGCCTGGGCAGGAAGGTGTAAAATTGCCCAGTATTGAAATGGTTAAAGGAGATTCGCTTTTATATATAATTTTCTCATTTTTTTTATATTTTATACTACATAGATTATTTAGTCACTTTATGTGTTGGTCTTATGTTTATATCACTGTGAGGTTTCTAATATTTGAATTTGAAGGAGGTAAACCAACAAGTACCACCAAACTCCCAGTTTCTTCAAAATGCAGCAGCCATGGCAAATGCCAATGATGGAGTCACCCTTTCCCAGTATCCTTCCCAAGTAAATACTGAGTTGAGTTTTGGGTTGGTGACCCCTCTATAATGAAGGCGTAGAATGGGAAGTAGGCCAAAACAACAGGGGAAAAACAAATATCAGAGTGTCGAAAAGGTGCAGCAAATTAATTGGGGAATTAAAGCCGAATTCCAGGAATTTGGCGACTTTGAAAAAAGTGAAGGCACTCTAAACGTCCAACAAGGTGCTTGCCACCTCCTTGGATGGATCACCTCTATTATTTATGTCTGACAAGTTTATTGTGCTCCTGGAGCTTCAACACTGGCCTCAGCCCCTTTAAGTGTAGAGTTGGTGCAGCTACTATGTCACTCCCTCCCATCCTCATGCCCACTCACATAAGCCTTTGTATTGTGTGAACTAATTTGCAAAATACAATGGCTTCTGTGAATGGGAAGCAGAGGGGAGGGCATAGGTGCTCTGTGTGCTTCTCTCCTCTCTTCACAGACTCAAGTCTGTCCTCCTGCAGAGCCATAAACTTGTTGGATATAAATAATAGAGATAAGCCCACCATTTAGCAGACAGCTATCAGTTTGCCTGCAATATTTATATGAATTGGTGGAATTCAGATTTCTACCAATGGCCATCTAAGGCCATTTTTCCAACAATGGCTTCACACAATACATGTACAGTGCCTTGAAAAAGTATTCATACCCCTTGAAATGTTCCCCATTTTGTCACAACCATGTGACATGTTACAACCAATACCATCAATGTATTTATCGGGATTGGATGTGATAGACCGACACAAAGTGACACATAATTGTGAAGTGGAAGGAAAACGAGAAATGGTTTTCAACATTTGTGACCAATAAATCTGTGAAAAGTGTGGCGGCATTTGTATTCAGCCCCCCAGAGTCAATACTTTGTAGGACCCCCTTTGGCTGCAATTCCAGCTGCAAGTCTTTTTTGGGGATGTCTCTCCCAGCTTTGCACATCTAGAGAGGGACATTTCTGCCCATTCTTCTTTGCAGAATCGCTCAAGCTCTGTCAGATCGGATGGAGAGCGTCTGAACAGCAATTTTCAAGTCTGGCCACAGATTCTCCATTGGATTTAGGTCTGGACTGTGACTGGGCCATTCTAACACATGAAGATGCTTTGATCTAAACCATTCCATTGTAGCTCTGGCTGGATGTTTCGGGTTGTTGTCTTGCTGGAAGGTGAACCTCCGCCCCGGTCTCAAGTCTTTTGCAGACTCTAACAGGTTCTCTTCTAAGATTGCCTTGTATTTGGCTCCATCCATCTTCCCATCAACTCTGACCAGCTTCCCCATCTCTGCTGAAGAAAAGCATCCTCACGACATGATGCTGCCACCACCATGTTTCACGGTGGGGATGGTGTGTTCAAAGTGATATGCAGTGTTAGATTTCCCCCACACATAGCATTTTTATTTTAGGCCAAAAAGTTCAATTTTGGTCTCATCTGACCAGAGCTCCTTCTTCCACATGTTTGCTGTGTCCCCCACATGGCTTCTCACAAACTGCAAACGGGACTTCTTATGGCTTTCCTTCAACAATGACTTTCTTCTTGGCACTCTTCCATAAAGGTCAGATTTGTGGAGTGCACGACTAATAGTTGTCCTGTGAGGACAGATTTTCCCACCTGAGCTGTGGATCTCTGCAGCTTCTCCAGAGTTCCCATAGGCCTCTTGTCTGCTTCTCGGATGAACGCTCTCCTTGCCCGGCGCGTCAGTTTAGGTAGACGGCCATGTCTTGGTAGGTTTACAGTTGTGTCATACTCTTTCCATTTTTGGATGATGGATTGAACAGTGCTCCGGGAGATGTTTAAAGCAGGGTTAGGTTATACAAAACTATCCCAAGATTTGAAGGTCTCCACAACTTAATCCCTGGCCTGTCTGGTGTGTTCCTTGGCCTTCATGATGCTGTTTGTTCACCAATGTTCTCTAACAAACCTCTGAGGGCTTCACAGAACAGCTATATTTATACTGAGATCACATGACACACAGGTGGAATGGAACTCTATTTACCAATTAGGTGACTTCTGAAGGGAATTGGTTCCACTAGATTTTAGTTAGGGGTATCAGAGTAAAGGGGGCTGAATACAAATGTAAGACGCACTTTTCAGATATTAATTTGTAAAAAAATATATATATATATGAAAACCATTTATCATTTTCTTTCCACTTCACAATTATGAGCCACTATGTTGATCTATCACATAAAATCTCAAGAAAATACATTTAAGTTTTTGGTTGTAACATGACAAAATGTGGAAACTGGCACTGTAAATCGGCATGTAAATTGCAAGCAGTGTAAGTACCTGAATTTGACTTTGTCTTTGCAGTCCATACACAGCAGAGCTTAGCCTGGGAGAGGGAAATGCAGCACAGGGGAGCTTATCAGTTGCGCTGCAGTACAATGAACATGCTGACAGGAGGAGAGAGCAGAGTGAGAGATGGGCTAATCCGTTTTCTGCTTTCATTGTCTAGACACAGAGTGGGAGGTGAAGAGGAGACCAGTAAGTGTTACTGCACTGAAGTAAAGAAAATCATGTCTCTTGCCCTGCCAGACAGGGCTATATTGTGTGATAGAGCTGTGTAAATTTCAGAACTGGATGGACAGAAGTACAAATCTTTTTGGAAGGTAAAACAGTTTGACTATATGTATTTTATCTGTGTATTTCACAATTTCCTTGAAGTTCAGCTTGAACAGGACCCTGTACATTTAACATATTTGTGGCATGTTATTTACACATGGAAGCATTGTGTAGACCTCAAAAAGCCCTAAAACTGTTACTGGGTGCCGCCATCTTGGATGTGATGTCAGCAGACTCAGCTGTCACTTAAAGTGCTACTAAGCGCCAGACCCCGCATTCACTATATCCGCTCTCCCCGGACCCTGCATTCACTATATCCGCTCTCCCCGGACCCTGCATTCGCTATATCCGCTCTCCCCGGACCCTGCATTCACTATATCTGCTCTCCCAGGACCCTACATTCACTATATCTGCTCACTCTGGACCCTGCATTCACTATATCCGCTCTCCCCGGACCCTGCATTCACTATATCCGCTCTCCCCGGACCCTGCATTCACTATATCCGCTCTCCCCGGGACCCTGCATTCACTATATCAGCTCTCCCCGACCCTGCATTCACTATATCTGCTCACTCTGGACCCTGCATTCACTATATCCGCTCTCCCCGGACCCTGCATTCACTATATCCGGTCTCCCTGGACCCTGCATTCACTATATCCGCTCTCCCCGGACCCTGCATTCACTATATCCGCTCTCCCCGGACCCTGCATTCACTATATCCGCTCTCCCCGGACCCTGCATTCACTATATCCGCTCTCCCCGGACCCTGCATTCACTATATTCAGTCTCCCCGGACCCTGCATTCACTATATTCGGTCTCCCCGGACCCTGCATTCACTATATCCGCTCTCCCCGGACCCTGCATTCACTATATCTGGTCTCCCCGGACCCCGCATTCACTATATCCGCTTTCCCCGGACCCCGCATTCACTATATCCGCTCTCCCCGGACCCCGCACTCACTAGATCCGGTCTCACCAGACCCTGCATTCACTGTATCCGCTCTCCCCCGGAGCTTGCATCCACTATATCCGCTCTCCCCGGACCCTGCATTCACTATATCTGGTCTCCCCGGACCCTGCATTCACTATATCAGCTCTCTCCCCCGGACCCTGCATTTACTATATCCGGTCTCCCCGGACCCTGCATTCACTATATCCGGTCTCCCCGGACCCTGCATTCACTATATCTGCTCTCCCTGGACCCTGCATTCACTATATCTGCTCTCCCACAGTACACACAACATGGAAATGCAATTACTTTAGTAAATATAAACTGCTAAATACCTTTTCTCATCAGCATTATATAGCAGTCTTGTGACTTCTATCAGTGTCCAGCAGAGCACTTAATAAAACCTGTAGGAGTTTTCATTCTGCTATAGGAGGATGCAGAACCCCTGATCCTCTGTTTGGACAGTGCTGATTGGCCCTGTGCTGATCACATGCACTCTCCCAAGAAGAAGAAGAAAAAAAACTCTCTAGCAATACACACCAAACTGAGCATGTGCAGAGAGACTCCACACAATAGGTCTCATCAGGAGATAAGAAAGGGACACTGGAAGAAGGGGAGGGTCAGAGAAGACAGGATCAAACAGCCTTTTTACATACAGTTGCAAGAAAAAGTATGTGAACCCCCTTGGGATTACATGGAGTTTTGCATGAATTGGGCATAAAATGTGCTCTGAACGTCATCTAAGTCACAACAATAGAAGAACACAGTCTGCTGAACATAATACTACACAAACATTAGATGTTGCCATGGTTTAATTGCACATAACATGTAAACATTCACAGTGCAGGGAGGAAAAAGTATGTGAACCTTTGGACTTAATAACTGGTTGACCCTCCTTTGGCAGCAATAACCTCAACCAAACGTTTCCTGTAGTTGCAGATCAGACCTGCACAACGATCTGGAGTCATTTTGGACCACTCCTCTTCACAAAACTGTTTCAGTGTAGCAATATTCTTGAGATGTCTGGTGTGAATCGCTCTCTTAAGGTCATGCCACAGCATTTCAATCAGGTTGAGGTCAGGACTCTGACTGGGCCACTCCAGAAGGCGTATTCTGTGCTGTTGCAGCCATTGTTTTGTTGAATGACTTGTATGCTTTGGGTCATTGTCCTGTTGCATCACCCATCCTCTGCGGAGCTTCAGTTGGCGGACAGATGGTCGTACGTTTTCCTGCAAAATGTCTTGATAAACTCTGGAATTCATTTTCCCATCAATGACAACAATCCGTCCAGGCCCTGAGGCAGCAAAGCAGCCCCAAACCATGATGCTCCCTCCGCCATGTTTTACAGTGGGGATGAGGTTTTGATGTTGGTGTGCTGTGCCTTTTTTTCTCCACACATAGTGTTGTGTGTTCTTCCCAAACAACTCAATCTTGGTTTCATCTGTCCACAGTATATTTTGCCAGTAGTGCTGTGGAATATCCAGTTGCTCTATTGCAAACTTCAAACGTGCTGCAATATTCTTTTTAGACAGCAATGGCTTCCTCCGTGGTGTCCTCCCATGTACTCCATGGGACTTGTTTCATGTTTTTCTTATTGTAGATGTGTCAACAAAAATGTTAGCATGTGCCAGAGATTTCTGTAGGTCTTTAGCTGACACTCTGGGATTCTTCTTTACCTCATGTAGCATTCTGCGCTGTGCTCTTGCAGTCATTTTTACAGGATGACCACGCCTAGGGAGAGTAGCAACAGTGCTAAACTTTCTCCATTTGTAGACAGTCTGTCTTACCGTGGACACATGAACATCAAGGCTTTTGGAGATACTTTTGTAACCCTTTCCAGCTTCATGCAAGTCAACAATTCTTGATTGTAGGTCTTCTGAGAGCTCTTTTCTGCGAGGCATGGTTCACATCAGACAGTGCTTCTTGAAACCAGTAAACCCAAAACAGGTGTGTGCTTTTTAAGGGCAGGAAAGCTGTCAGCAACACATCCAATATCATCACAGTGATTGGAGTCAAGGTTGGCTCACTCCTGGCTCCAATTAGCTCTGGGAGAAGTCATTAAGCTAGGGCCTCACATACTTTTTCCTCCCTGCACTGTGAATGTTTACATGTTATGTGCAATTAAACCATGGCAACATCTAATGTTTGTGTAGTATTATGTTCAGCAGACTGTGTTCTTCTATTGTTGTTACTTAGATGACATTCACAGCACATTTTATGCCCAATTCATGCAAAACTCCACATAATCCCAAGGGGCTCACATACTTTTTCTTGCAACTGTAATGCAGCGGATTAACCCCTTAGGTTCCACAGTGAGTATAACAAGCATGCTTTACCGCATATACAGACTGATTGTACTGTTGTGGGTTTAGTAACACTTTAAGTGACATAGTATACTTTTGCTCCTCCACCAGAAGCTACCTAAGAGTGTAAACTTTTCTGTAGGGAGATAAAGGGTAGGTGGATGAGCTGGGACAGCACAGACAGTAATAAGACACTCCCTGAAAAGGAGAGGATTACGACATGTAGGGATGGAGGGCAAGTACCAGAATTGATTCTTCCTGAAGAAGTCCAATTTTCTAAAGCAAATTCGGAAATTGCGAGTGAATGAAAAAATTATTTATGGAAAGGAAAAAAAAACTGCAGATAAGCATTTACTATACCTGATTTTTCTGGGGTGTTTCCTGCAACCCTGTAAGTTGGGTGATAGGGTCTCTCTAAGCCCCTCCTACACCAATTACAGCGCATCCAGAAAGTATTCCCAGCGCGTAACTTCGGCCACATTTTGTTATGTTACAAAAATGGATTCAATTAATTTTTTCCCTCAACATTCTACAAACAATACCCCATAATGACAATGTGAAAGAAGTTAATTTTGAAATTTTTGCAATTTATTAAAAATAAAAAACCAAAAAAAAAAAAAAACCCCCCATGTACATAAGTATTCCCAGCCTTTGCTCAATACTTTGTTGAAGCCCCTTTAGCACCAATTCCAGCCTCAAGTCGTTTGGAGTATGATGCTACAAGCTTGGCACACCTATTTTTGGGCAATTTCGCCCATTCTTCTTTGCAGGACCTCTCAAGCTCCATCAGGTTGGATGGGGAGCATCGGTGCACAGCCATTTTCAGATCTCCCCAGAGATGTTCAATCGGGTTCAAGTCTGGGCCACTCCAAGATATTCACAGAGTTGGCCCATAGGCACTCCTCTGTTATGTGGGCTGTGTTCTTAGGGTCGTTTTCCTGTTGAAAGATGAATCGTCGCCCCAGTCTAAGATCCAGAGCGCTCTGGAACAGGTTTTCATCAAGGATGTCTCTGTACATTGCTGCATTCATTTTCCTTCGATCCTGACTAGTCTCCCAGTTCCTGCCACTGAAAAACAACCCCACAGCATGATGCTGCCACCACCATGCTTCACTGTAGGGATGGTATTGGCCAGGTGGTGAGAGGTGCCTAATCTCCTCCAGACACGGCGCTTGGCATTCAGGCCAAGAGTTCAATCTTTGCTTCATCAGAGCAGCGAGTTTTGTTTCTCATGGTCTGAGAGTCCCTCAGGTGCCTTTTGGCAAACTCTAGGCGGGCTGCCATTTGCCTTTTACTGAGTGGTGTAATGAACCGCCTGACGGCGCCCCTAGCAATCCACTGGTCAGGTTTCCCCAGAGCGCAGAGTCTAAGTCCCGGTTCACTTGTTCACCAGGGCCCCTGATGGTGGGGATGGACTTGGAGTGAACCGAGACCAGGTCGCGGCCCCTGGGTATACCCACCAGTAGTAGAGGAGCTCGCCAGAGGTTCCTGCAGGGTGAGAGCCTGATGTGAGGAGGCAAGGATATCCCAACGAGGTGGACGGATGGATGGATGGGCAGGTGCGTGGTCAGACGAGCCGAGTCGGTAGCCGTGGGGTCGGTGCGGTACAAAGCAGCGGGCAGAGAATGGTCGGGTCACACGCCAGGTCAGCAACAAGAGATCAGATCCACAAGGGGGCATCCAGGAGGGAGGTCAGGCAAGCCAGGGGTCAGGGCAGGAGTAATCAGCAAGGTCAGAGCAATCCGGGTCAGCAACAATCAAAAAATAGCAGAGGTTCAGGAACAGGACACAAGAAAGACCATACGGCAACCAGTGACAGCACAGGGTCCCCAGTGGTACCAGTCGCGCACCCGCGTCCCCAGTGCGCATGCGCGAGCTCCGTCGTCCGCGGCCGGCCAGGACCTAGTGCCCACACACCAGTGCAAGTCGGCACACTACGCCTGTGCCGAGCCCAACGCTGTCGCGGCTCCTGAGAAGTGGCTTCCGTGTGGCCACTCTATCATACAGGCCTGATTGGTGGAGTGCTGCAGAGATGGTTGTTCTTCTGAAAGGTTCTTCTCCTCTCTCCACAGAGAAACGCTGGAGCTCTTTCAGAGTGACCATTGGGTGCTTGGTTACCTCCCTGGCTAAGGCCCTTCTCCCTCCATTGCTCATTTTGGCCGGGTGGCCCTCTCTAGGAAGATTCCTGGTGGTTCAAAACTTCTTCCATTTACAGATGATGGAGGCCACTGTGGTCATTGGGACCTTCAATAGTGCAGAAATGTTTCTGTACCCTTCCCCAGATCTGTGCCTTGATACAATCCTGTCTCGGAGGTCTACAGACAATTCATGGACTTCATGGCTTGGGTTGGGCTCTGACATGCACTGTTACCTGTGGGACCTTCTATAGACAGGTTTATTCCTTTCCTAATCAGGTCCAATCAACTGAATCTCCCACAGGTGGACTCCAATCAAGTTGTGAAAACATCTCAAGGATGGTCAGTGGGAACAGGATGCACCAGAGCTCAATTTTGAGTGTCATGGCAAAGGCTGGGAATACTTATGTACATGAGGTTTTATTCATTTTTTTTTATTTTTAATAAATTGCAAAGATTTAAAAATGAACTTGTTTCACATTGTCATTATGGGGTATTGTTTGTAGAATGTTGAGGGGAAAAATGAATTTACTCCATTTTGGAATAAGGCTGTAACATAACATGTGGAAAAGGTAAGCACTGGGAATACATTTCTGGATGCACTGTGTCTATGTACCAAGTTATGTGTTCTTTATGTATGGTGATGTATATATCAAGAATTTCAGCAGAGTGGATACCTTATGGTGGCCATACATGCTTCACATTTCTTTATTACAATTGATTGCGATTCACTCAAAATGATCGTTTGATAATTTTGAGTGAATCTCAATCAATTGTAATAAAGAAACTCCTCCAGGAACAACTGAACAGCCACAACTTCCAATTAATTTAGGCTCCATTTCCATCAGATTTGATGAAACCGAGTTGATCTCGGTCTGAT